TATTCATTCTTTCCAAAAGATTGATCCCACCTAAGGGCCTCTTCTTACTAGTCTTAAAAGTGCAATTGAAAATTACATGTAACTATAAACAATAATTGATACATACCACACTCAAAAAGAAAATATTAAAACGATGTAGGCCCTGTTTGGTAAATAGTTGTTAGCTGTTAGCTAATTGGGTTGATTATAGAATATAACTAGTTGATAACCTTGCTAATTATAGGAAGACGTTTGATAAATTAGCTGTTAGTTGATAGCTGTTTGGTATAATTTTTTTTCTTAAAATTAAAAGTTAATTGAAAAAACTGTTTTGAGCAGCTTTTTTAATTTTAACATTTTAGAGTTAATTTTTTAATAAAGTCAAATAGTTAATAGTGGTCAAATAAGTCAAAACTAGCTGATATTCTAATATTTTATCAAACAGGCCATAGTAGATAAATTATTGACGTGTATAAAAAAAAAAGAGTATAATTGAAAAGGGAAAATAGCACTTTTTCCCCCTAAGTTATATACTCATAGCACTTTTTCCCCCTCAATTATTTATGTAAGCACATTAGCCCCCTCAATTATTTTAAAAGTGGTAGTTTTCCCCCTAATATATTAAATTGACATTTCTACCCTTAAAGTAAACATTTTATTTATTTTACTTCTCCAACAAATTATTGCGTATATGTAGCGATTACCACAGTTCGGTTCGAACTGAACCAGACACTATAGCAATCGAATTAAAAGTTTTCAGTTATTATTCAGATCTAGAACCCAAAATTTAGATTTCAATTTATTAAATTTAAGAATAAAAAAAACTGGATCATGAACCGTGAACCGGTGATTCCGGATCCAGTTCGCGATTTTGAACCGTCTTTATTTTAAACTTTTATTTTTTATTTTAAAATAGTCTAAATTCAACAATAAATGTATTTTATTTTTCAGTTCGGAACATGAACCGTCCATTCCGATTTGCGATTTTAATAAACTCTAAATATCGCGTTTTGATTATAAATTGTAATTGAAATATTTTGGTTTGGTTGCTATAATATCTGTTTGGTTTGAACCAAATTATAGTAATAATTTGTTGGAGAATAAAAATAAATGAAATATTTACTTTAAATATTTATTTTAAGAGTAAATATGTCCATTTAATATTTCAGGGAGAAAAAGAGCCACTTAAATAATTCAGGGAAAAAAGTGCTATAAGTATATAACTTAAGGGAAAAAGTGCCATTTTCTAGGTGAAACCCTTTTTGGCAACGTTGCCTGTATTGATATTTATTGCTAGCCCACAGAGTTGCCATATAGTATTTTAGTATGTAATTATTAAATCCAATATTCCCAATATGTCGTGCAAGTGGACAACTGGTGTATATGTTCGAGACTATTGTCGATCAACTACTAATTGGGAGAGGTATTATTATATTGTATCTTTGGGAGAAGTATTATTGTATCTCAGACGCTTAATTGCAACATTAATTAATTTAATTAATTTTAAAACAACATCCATCAAATGTAAATATATTAAAATGGGGCCTTAGCTTTGGCAAACCTTGGGCTGATAAAATAGTATTGAGAATTAATTAAGAGATTGATGGTTATAAATAATTCAGATTGTAAATTTTTTTGAGTATTATTGACTCTATTACAATGTAGTATCTATTCATAGTATTCGTTTTTATTGGGGCTCAAAATCATGATCTTCCATTTACGAGAACAATAACTTAATACCACTAGACTATAAAGTCATTGACATTTCTGATTGAAAGTTAAGTCTCATAAAATTATCTTTATTTTTTATTTGTAGTCTTACTCTTTTACGTTTCGGTACTAGAATGAAAAAGCTAAGGGTATGAGTTATGATGTTATACCTCAACGAGACCTTAACAGTAAAAACCACTCTCTCGATTCCTTTTATTTCATTTATAAGGCTTGGGTTCAAATTTTTGTTTAAATAAACTTTTTTCTTTAAAAATGAAAATGTATGAAGAAGTTAAGAATCTAACACAACTTTCTACCTAAGTAATCCCTTTTTTTTTTTTTTTTTTTTTTTTATAAAAATCATTATATAATATTTTACTTTTTAACGTGACATTATTATATTAATTTTAAAAACAATTGTGATTATTACATAAATTTTTTATTAACTTGTAGTGTTCCAATGAATTAACAAGTAAATAATAATACAAGTTCAATGTGTATGAAAAAAAATTTATGATGTGAAATGGGTGGTCGCATTGGTATAATGAAACATAATTCTTGTTCTTACATATATACAAATTCAATTTTTATTAAAACCCTCTTAATTAGTTGATCAGTCCGCCACATAACATATTTTTAATATGATTTACCAATCCTGTTACATACTCTTGTGTAATGGTTATAGATTTTTCTCGTCACAAAAAAAAAAAAAAAATCTTTCTAAATCTTATAAATAACATCACATCAACAAGTGAATAGTAAATAATAAATTTTGGTAGAAAAATATCATTTTCTCTTTCTACCTATATTCAACGAAATCATTGTCTAAGGCTCTGTTTGGCAAACCTAGCTGAAAAGCTATAAGCTAGGAGCTGAAAGCTGAAAAGGAGCTGAAAGCTGAAAAGCTATAAGCTCGGAGCTGAAAACTGAAGAGCTGTTAAGCTAGCTGTTATGATTAAAAGTGTTTGGTAAAACCAGCTTTTTGATAAGCTGATAAATGTAAAAAGACTAAAAAGGACATCTTCATATAATTTAAATTAGTTTGTTTACATATTAAAATTTGACATTTTGTCTTTAAAAAATTAATATTCTGAAATAAAACTATTAGCATAATCATGATCTAGCATCCCATAATGATGTAGCAATATTGTTGCGAATCTCCTTCATCTCAGTAGAGGCCTGGCTTAAATTTTCGTTGATGGAGATATTACTACTTGAATCTTGAAGTTCATCGGGCGGTATGTAATCTGGATGCTGCTCAAACACATTAAACATCATGTCATCTTGTGAATTCTTCCGAATATAATTATGGAGTGCAAAGGTGGCCATAATAACATCAATTTGGGTCTCCACACTAAATTGTGGCATATTAGCAAGTATCTTCCATCTCTTCTTTAATACTCCAAACGACCTCTCAATACAACTTCGAAGAGAAGAATGTGCACGATTGAATGCTTCTTGAGCATTTGTTGGCGGCTCATGTTCAAATTGAGATTGATGATATCTTATTCTTGGATACGGTACCAAATATCCTTGTTTATCTGGATATCCTTTATCCACCAAATAATATCTTCCTAAAAAAAATATAACACTAAACTTTTATAATGAATAAAATTATATGATTTTAGAGTTAAAAAATACGAATATGATACCTTGTGGCGGCTTGGGAAAGTTCATTGATGGTGTATTAATTGCATGAAGAAATACACGTGTATCATGTGCTGATCCTTCCCATCCAACAGATATAAAAGTGAAACACATATCAAAGTTACACGCTGCCATAACATTGAAAGTAGGAATTCCTTTTCTCCCTCTATATCGCAATTGATCAACCTCAGGGATGCACGCTGCTATCAATACATCCAATACAATCCTATTCATCATATATATTAGATAATCAATCTTAAAATAATAATAATAATAATAATAATAATAATAATAATAATAATAATAATAATAATAATAATAATAATAATAATAATAAAGTGAAATCATTAAATGGTCACATTTTACCTTGAAATATGGCATGTATCGTGCATCATTAGTAATGTAAGACGGTATAGATTGAAATGTAGGATCATCTAGTCTTATGATATCACGTGCAAGGCCTTTGTATCCGCTATTCCGACCACTAATTGCTTCCAAAACCTCATGAAATGCTCTACTTATTGTTTCACCGGAACGTTGAAATCGTTCACCAACATCTCTATTTGAAGCACCCATAGCAAGTGTGTATATAAATATAGCAACTTTCTCCACATATGACATATTCCTAGTAGATTGTAATCCATATTTTGAATATAAGTCTTCACATAATTGCTTAAACAAATCGGAGTCCATTCTAAATGCATTTACACATCGAATAGGATGTCCATTCAACACTTCTTTCATCCATTCTTGTCCTCTAAAAAGTGAAGTCATACAAGGTTCTTTATAAATATATTTATAGTAATATGTTTTGGTTAAAGCAATTGTGGCATACGATGTTATAATTGCACAAAGTGCTTGCTTCCTTTTTTTTCTTTTCCGCTCCAACTCCATGATGTACCTAATAAATATAAAATAATGAAACCAATATATTTTAATAAAATATAAAGTAAGAACATATATTTCAATATATATAAAGTAAAACAAAATGAGCATTGAAATTATATATATAAAGTAGTACAAGTTTTAATGTTCAAACACATAAATGTCAAATTGAAATAACAACCAAACATATTGAATAAAATGAGCATTCACTTGTTTGTATCATGCATATACTTCAACCAAGCTTTCCTAGAGGATTCATCCTCAATATTGAAAAAAATTTCCCGATTCAAATCATCCTTAAGCAAGGTAAGAGAAAAACACCACAAATCTCCACCCTTTTCCATAATACCATCACTAACCATGCGGTTAACAACACTTATTGCTGCAGCAAGACTACAACTTGTACTACTTTGAGTATTCATAGTACTATCAGATTGTAAAATGTCCAATGCTCGATTTGAATTTGAAATCAAACTCTCTAATTGATTAGAAAGTTTAGCTGCTCCTCCTGATTGTCTCCTCTTACGTTTCATTTGAGTGGGTTTAACACCAATATTTTGAGTGGGGTTATTACCTTGAGATTGTCTAGGTACTTGACTGCCACTAACATCATGCTGACTACCACTATAACGGTTCACCTCACTCATAAAATTATTCCAAAATGAAGACTCATCAACCTCCAAATCCCGCAATTGAGAAGAATGTTGGTTATCCTGAGAATATAACACATCTTCAAATCCTTGCCTAGTCCTATTCTCTTCTTCACTTTCTATATTTTCTTCCTCAATATCCACTGGTTGCACTAATTGAGGATCCATAGTGGGTGCAACACAACCTTCACCATTTGCATAGCTATCTTCAAATAACTTAGACCACAAATCTTCCATTGCAGTATCAATGGATTTATTACGAAATTTTTTATAGTCTGAGTTCTCCTACAAAAGAAATCAAAAAAGAATAAGTTTACAATCAACACCAAAATATTAGTATGTTTTAATCTTAAAAATCTATAATACAAACCTTGATTTTTTTCTCCCACCACTCATCGGAGCCACTAATCTTATTTGTACTAGGATCCCACCCTAAACCGGTTTCACCACGTTTCAGATGCTTCCAAGTTCTCCATTCTTTTTTCATAGCATCCCACTTATTCTTTAAACTTCGATGTGCAATTTTCTGTTTGGCGGTAGCTTCAAATTCTTCTTTAATCTCCTTCCATTTCATTAACCCACGTCCATGCTTTCGAATATATTTGATACAAATCTCACAAAAAAGCATCACGTTCTCGTTGGTCCACTTAAAATTCTCTCCATCCAAGTTGTCATTGGTTGAAGCCATATTGCTAATTTAGAAAGAACAACAACAACAATAATAATAATAATAATAATAATAATAATAATAATAATAATAATAATAATAATAATAATAATAAGCTAAAGTAGTAATTTAATGATCCTAAACAAATCAAAATGAATGTGCAAAATGAACACTGCTTGAGCTTGGGTTTAAAATGAACACTGTAATTGGCAGTAATGCTAATAGGATACCATGATCAGTGTAATCAAACATTGAGCTTCTCTAATGATCATGTTTTTACATGGTATGCTAATAGGATACCATGCTAATAATAAAATCAAATAATAGGGAGTTGCAGAGAACATAATTTTTGAGAAATCAACCCTCCATATAGGCATCCACAAAGAATTATTTTTTGACACTTTATTCCCACTAGGCACATTGGCCGAAACATGATCATTAGACCCCTTTGAGATACCAACATTAGAAGTAGCCAAATGAACTGATGCATTATTCACATGGACAGTAACACTTAGGCATCTAAGGTTTAAATTAATCCCAGAATTATGCAAACTTAAAAGAAGTAGCACCACAACTAGCATTATTAAAAGCATTGTGCACATTCAAAGAAGTAGAAATATTATTTACTCTCTATGCATTAGAACCATGAATACCGTTAGTTCAGACAATAACACAAATAGCTAGCAGACCTATGGCTTTGCATCATGCCGTTAGTTCAGACAATAACACTAAACAGTTTTATGGTCAAACAGTCCATCCACTTAAGAAGAACAAGACACACAAAATCATTATTTAGGATGTCCAGCCAAACATATACATACCTGCGGATTGATGCTATGGCTAATGGACTATTGCGGACTGCGGAGTGCGATGGATGATGCTCCTGCGGAGTGAAAATGGGGGATGGCGATGGATGATTCTTCTGCGGAGTGCAAATGGGGATGGCGAACCTTATGCGGAATGCAAATGGGGAGATGGACGAGGCTTATGCGAATGGTCGAAGATGAAGGGATTGTCGTGAAAGTTGCTAAGAGACGAGAAATGGTTTTAATTCAGAAGAGTAAAACATGTCATTACTTTAAAATAATAAGGGCAAATATGGAAAAAAAGTTAGGAAGCTCCTAGCTTATTTTGAAACGCTACCGAAAGTAGCGTTCCAAAATAAGCTCTTATTTTAAGCTAGGAGCTTATTTTGGAACATTACCAAACAGAGCTTATAGCTTATTTTAAGCTTATTAGTAGCTTAAAATAAGCTATAAGCTCCTAGCTTATCTCTGCCAAACAGAGCCTAAAACTAACCTAATTGCTAGTTAAAGAAGCTCATGTAATAAAATGCAAGTTAGCAAGTAAATATATAGTTAAATAGGAAAGTATACCTCTATATATATGATACCATCCCCATAAGTCCATGAGAACCAATATTATCTATTAAAAAATAGATCTATGGATATGATTAATTGAGAGATTTTAAAAAATGCATGTGTGTAATTTTGGCTTAATTATTTGATCACTATTAGTTATTTGACTTGATTTAAAAATTAATATAAGTGTTTGATTAATTAACTTTTTGTAGTCCAAAATACTAAAACTCGATCAAAAGCTACTCAAAATAACTTTTTCAATTAGCTTTTTTAGAAAAGAAAATTATGTTAAACAACTATCAGCTAACATGTAATTTACCAAACACCTTTCTACAATCAACTATTGTTATCAACTAGTTATACTCTCTAATTAACAATCAGCTAACAACTATCAGTCATTTACCAAACAAGACCATTATAATGTGGGCATATTAAATATGTGTTGTGTGCAACATAAGGACATGCTTAATATACACGCACCATAATGCTTAATACACACGCGTATTTTTAATTCTCAATTAATCTCATCTATAGATTTATTTTTTAATGAATGAAATTGATTCTTATGGAGTCATAGAGAAGTGGGTTCCTTATGATCTTCAAAAAATATATATATATATATATATATATATATATATATATATAGAGCAAGAAAAGAGGAAAGAAAGGAATAAATGTATCTTTTTGTTATTAAAATTGTGATAAGGTACAAGTTGTGAAAAGGGTGGAATTTGTCGCGGTTCACGTGTTTTTATATTAAATTATATTATAGAAAAATCGTGACAAAAAAAGTGTAATTAAGTATTAATGTCGGCGAGCTAAATAACAGAATAAGGAAGTCGGCACTGTGGCTACAAGTGTACAACGCACAATTGAGGCGCTGGCAAATTTGTACTAATGCTCTGCTATCAGTAACCATGATTCATGAACATGACTTTCGCTTTTATAATTTGTTTTTTAACGTATAACATATAATATTTTTGTTATTAAGACTAATTTATGTTCAAACAAAATTATGTTTGTAGATCGGAGTTTGATTTTTTATTTGTGAGAAAAATTTTATCAATATCTCTTCAACATAATATGCATATATAAGAGTTGGCTATCTAACCGTACAGTTGCATTAATTTTTGCGTAATAATTGATCCTTAATTTTAAAGAATGATTAAATTTTTTATGTTTAATTTCACAATTAATAATGATATGATGTTTGATAATGTAAAAAAATTATTTGAAAGAGGAGTACATTTTTAGGCCGGGGTATATAATTTAACAGTACATCGTGACTATTTTTATGTGGTTATTTTTTACTCCGTATTTTTTAATTTCAAATCCCAACTTACTACAAATTACCACATAGGGAGTGACAAAAATGGAGTGATTTTTTGCAAGGGCATTTAACATTGTTTATAATATTTTGATACTCCGTATAATATATAGATATAAACATCCACGGTCATCGATGATGATAATTCATGTTTATTAATTAGTTTTTTTTTTTAAATAGGGAAATTAAAGAAAACAAATAAGAATTTGAAAAAGAAAAATGCTTTATTCTCCTTCTAAATTTTTCTTACATTATTTTATTTCTGATGTGGCTTCTATAGTTCCATTCGTTGGTTGTCTATGAATTAATAATTCAGTTACTACTAATTAAAAATAGCATTAAGTTATCAATTAAATGTTACAATGTCATTAGAGATGAATTGGAGGAAAAAAATATAAGGGGTATCTAGCATTATTCTTTGAAAATAGATGCAAATAAATTTATTTTTTAAATAAAAAAATTGATTAAAAAAAAAAACTAAAAAAGCAATTAGAGTAAACGAACGCGCAGCAATTCAATTATGTAATCCGCTATTATCCATTCGGAGTGTAGTGGGTAAGCAAAATATGTGATAAGGAATTGAACTTCGCATGTTTGACAAGACATAAACCTTATCTTTAATTTGTTGTTTTGTCGGCTATATTTTTATTTTTATTTTTCTACATTTTCAACGACAACTTTCCATTTTGTGGGGCATCACAATTTTAGATAAAATCAGTATTTTACTTCTATACTCTATCCAATATTTTTTGGTGTGCCCAGATTTTACTGACTAACCCCACGCTAAATTGTAGGCACCTTTAATAGGTGGAATAATTAACTTATAGATTTAAGTTACTTTATACCCAAAGTCAAGGATCGAATCCTTGACATTTGGTTAAGAAATACTCTATTTGAGAAGAGAAAACAATTTTATATGGGCCAACGTTAAAAATTCATGATTGTCAAATTCATATTAGTTATTGAAATCATCAACCTAAATTGTTCATAAGTCATTGATGCAAAAGAAAAAAAAAAAGTCAATATATAGGCACCTCTCATGGGAAGTCGAACTTAGAACCTTATTAGTACTAAACATAATATATTTTTTTAAGCAAATACTAAATTTAATATTATGAACAATATAATTGAATGTAAATAACTTTAGTCCGGTTACGTTAACTAAACTACACACGTAAAATTAGACGGAGGGGTAGTATATGTTTAATATTATATTGTAATTGTTATCCATAATTATGTGGGTCTCTGTTTTCAATATGATGAAAAGGAAATCAAAGTTATAGTCATCAACTACTTAAATTGCAGTCAAGACACTCTCACACAATAAAACTGTCAAAAGCAACCTTATTATTCCATCCAAAGATCCTCAAATAGTCAATACATGTATTCTCAACGACAAATCGTCAACCTTTCAATCCATCGAATCAACACAAAAACTAGCTCATAAGCTTAGGCTATCTTTATCCTTGCAATACTCTTTCACTTTCAATAGTGGGTCCTATCTCCACAGCACCAAATTTATAATTCCTTCACTATTTTCTTTATATCCCTACAATACTCTCTCACTTTCAAAAGTGGTCAGGTGAAAGGGTTATAGGGTATTCCTACTTGCCATATGTGGTTTACAAGTGCACTTCCTGACCTCTGGAGGGTTGCAAGTGTACCTCCCAACCTCAAGAGGGTCTAAAAGTGCACTTCCCAACCTCAAGAGGGTCTAAATGTGTACTTCCTGACCTCAGGAGACTCTAAATGTTTACTTCATATTCCCGACCTCAGAACGGTCTAAAAGTGAACTTCCCGACCTTAAGATGCTACAAAAGTGCACTTTCCCGCCTCAAGAGGGTCTAACTATGCACTTCCCGGCCTTAGGAGTGTCTAAATTTGCACTTCTCAACCTCAAGAGGGTTTAAATGTGCACTCCCGACCTATGTGGGTTCTTCTAAATGCAACTCGAGTGTATTTTCCAAGCCAAAGAGTCTGTATGTCAACTTACCAACCTCAATATCAGTAGACTGACCGACCGCTTTATTAAGTAGACTTGTCAACCTAAACATTAGTGTACCTCCCAACCATCATTTCTATATAGGACAACTCTGTCATCGCCTCAC